GGAATTCTGGACGCTCGATTGTCCGTGGCCATTTTCTGTCCTGTGCAAACTGAACTGAACTGAACTGAACTGACCTGCTTGTTTTTCCGAGTAATAGTTTTCTATCCCGTTCGGCGGGCCGTTTAACTGTCCTGCGATTGGTGCCTCGTCGTTATGAAGGTTACATTCAAAACTTTAAAGCAGCAAACTTTTCAGTTGGAACTGCAGGAGGATGACTTAGTAATTTTTGATTCAAAAAAATCTTCATTGTCTTCAGGTTCGAGAGGTCAAAAAACGCATTGAGGCGGAGAAGGGCAGTGAGTTCAGCGCTTCCTCACAAAAGCTGATTCATTCGGGTGAGTATATTCAATGTCAACACTAAAAATGTTTCAGGTAAGGTGATGGAAGATGAGAAGACGCTTAAGGAATATAAGGTTTCGGATAAAGGGTTTATCGTAGTTATGTCAACCCCGAAGCAGCCTCCAAAAGAGACCTCTCCTCCTACTGAGAAACAACCGACGTCAGACACCGCAAGTCCTCAACCAGCTTCTCAGCCTGCTCCACCACCTGCAACTGCTGTAGAGGCAACTCCTGCTACGCAGCCGACACCTGCTTCAATAAGCACGACTGCCGCCTCCGGAGCGATTAACGAAGGAATAGGTGGCGAAAACGCTTTAGTGACAGGTGCAGAATACGAACGTTCGGTGCAAGAAATTATGAGTATGGGTTTCGAACGGTCCATGGTAAATTACTTTTACAGGTGGTCACTTTTCATAGGTTGTGCGTGCTCTGAGAGCTAGCTTCAATAACCCTGATCGGGCGGTTGAATATCTTCTTTCGGGTAACATTCCTAACATTGGTATTGCGGAGCCTTCTGCAGCTCCAGAGCGAACAGCACCTGAGCCCGCTCGACCGGATGCCCCAGGAGAAGAGCAATCACCACCAGAGTCAGCTGCTTCAGATGATCCGATCGCTGCACTTGCCAGTCTGCCGCAGTTTCAACAGATGCGTGCTCTAGTCCAAGAGAATCCCGAACTTCTGCCTCAGCTGATACAACAAATTGGATCCGAAAACGCAGATCTTCTCCGAGTGAGTATTCAAGCACCTTGCTCTGACGGTGAGGGTTTTATAGCATCTCACGAATAGCATTTGTTCACACAGTTTTCCTTCACTGACTGATTTACCAGCCTTTTTACTGCAGGTAATTACCAGTATTCGAATTCACAAGCGGCATTCGATGAATCTCATCAGTTTAGCTTTAGTGACCTTTTTTTCAGTTTGTACAACCATTAACCTTACACTTTCGCGCCCTTATTTTGGTTGTTTCGTGATTGCCCATTCAGAGGATGGATTTAAGAATAATTTGAATGTCTTAATCAGTGTGAGTAAAAATAATTAATGAGGTTCCAAAGAAAGCGAGGTTCACGAGCGCTATTGTTTACGAGAGCACGCAATATGCCTCTAATCATGGATTAAAATGATCCCGGTGTGCCCATTCAGGAATCCTGACGCGACCTATGTAATCATTTTTGCTTTCGTACCAGTCCTTTACATTTTCCGTGCCACATGCCTTGGTAAACATGCACATCATGCAACATATTTGGTGACATGCGCAATACATGCCCCACAACTTAGTCTACGGAGGTAAACCATTTCTTCCTTTGGGCGTCCGTTGTTACCTTGAATTGCGCCTAATTTCAGCTTTTCTTGTTTGGTTTCCCCACCAAAGTTGAGCAGTGCAACGTAGACAGCGGTGTTCAAACGCCGACAGCCTATCTCTATCCTGTTTTCTTATTGAACAAATCTTTGTGCTGTATGGCAGAGCTGGCCGAAATCCCACAGCATACACTCGACCCTTCACAAACAGTCAGATGTCGCGACCCGCCACAAATGGCATGCGCTATTCGAGCTTTCAGTATGCGTGGCGCAGTGGTTTGGTTGCTGTCACCGGCTTGCTTTGGGCTGTGGTCCGAGATTCGGGCCCCGCCACCGCCACCCAACTTTGGTGGTAAGCAGCTTTGCTGTCGTCCGGTTCAATACCACACCTAACCTGGCGGGGTCTTATATAGTTCGCTACTCCAAGTCATGGAGCTTGGGTTACCGTTTTCTATAGCTGAACAGTAGGTGTTCGCGACTGTGTTTCACCCCGTCTGCTGTTCATCACAAAGTGTGCAATAAAAAAAATCCGTAATGCGTCCGCCAGGTGAGTGGCAGCTGGCTAAAAAGCAAAATCTCTTCAATCTCGGTGTTTTGGTCACTGTCTTTCAGCTTCAAATTTTGTCAGCTGACGAGAAAGGAGTGGATCGAGGAATCGAAGGTGCGTTATATTATCAGGATAAAAATAAAGTACGCAAGTAAGCTGGATGTGGGTTTATCTTATCATGCCTGGAAGGTCAATGGGTAGAGGTCAAACGAAGTTCAGTCTCCTGATCCTCCGGGTTGGGGGTTCGAATCGAGTTAGCTTCTAAGTCGGTAAAATGGTAACGGAGTAATCAATTCAAGTAACCAGGCCTCTACTCCGCTTTATCCGCTGCCTTGCGGTTAGGTTCTTGACAAAACTAAAGGCTATGGGCGAGAACCACAACCGTTCTCCTGCTTAATGGCTGGACACCCTGGCAATACCCGCCCATCAAACCCTAATGCATACAAAAACAACATAATTCCATATTACATCGGTCGTCGCGCAGAATAATCAGAACCGTGCTGCCCATCGCGTCGATCGGGGTGGGTAGTGATAAGTGGGCCACTGCCCAGATGTCCCAATATTTGTTCAACCCTATGTCTCCAGAATGACGAATCCCGTTCAGTGGGCCAGCGTGGTGTGGGCATTGTATCGAATAACAACCGAGGCTGCACTACTCGATCGGATCCCCGTCAAGAATCACTTATGTGCTATGCGGCTCCAAGGGTCCATCCGCGTCCGGAGGGAAGGAACATCATACGTTTTTTATTTCACCTAAGAGTGATGAGCTACAGAGGGGGCGAACCCCATAGTCACAAGGATCTGCTGTTCAGTGGTGGAAACCGACAACTTAAGTCCCGGGGCTCGGAGTGGTTAACCACATAACGCCCGATAGATTAGGCGTGGTATTGAACCAGATGACAACAGAGCTGCCTACCACCATCAATCCAGCGTATGCGCTGACCAACTGCAGTTCTGAAGCACAGAAAGACAAGTTTTATGAAAAACTCGAGGAATTCATTCTGTTGAACCGAAACTCCGATAGAGTTGTTCTCGCAGCCGATTCTAACGCTCAATTTGGAAAACTGAGCGCGTCGGAAGTTTGCCTTGGCGATTGTTGAGCTCTGCCCTGCCAGCGAACAGATAATGGCGACTTCTTCAGTTCTGCGCAGATCATCATCTGTTCCTATCCAGCACCGACTTCCGACACAGCTCTCTAAGGATAGCAACTTGGCGCTCAAATTCAACTGGCACGCTAACTCAGATCGACCACAGCAGTAGGCTATCGTTGGCGCAGCTCAGTACAAAACTGCAGGTCCTTTTGGACCACCTGCGTTGAATCTGATCATGCGTTTGTTTTGATGCAGTTCACTCGAACTCACTGGTTTTCGAAAACCCCTCAAACGCGATTGGCAATTATCTGACTCACCTGTTCATGCCCTGAACTAGAGGTAAAGCTAAACGCGCCGCGGGGTGGTTTGTGTAGATGAGCAATGGATTCAGATTAGACCAGCAATACATTCCGCAGCGAGGGTCGTTTGTGGATCTGAAGCGGTATCCCGCCCGAGACATTAGATATCTGATCAGTCAGTAGCACTGTTGGTGAGAAAGCGGTAAATCCCGACGGATCAGGATCAAAGCAAGAAAAGTTGGGGTCTGCAACGTCAGTTTAAGAAGAGTATCGAGAAAGATCATGAAAACTAGTAGACAGCAGTAGCTGGTGAAATGGAGGTAGCAGCTGCACCAGGGAATGGTCGAACAGCGTTCAAACTAATACGCGATACAGGTGGTCGATGAACCACAGTTAGTGAAACAATTTGCGACAAAAGTGGGCAAGCTATTCACAATAGGTAACAACGGCTTGACCGGTGGGTGTAGTACTTCAACGAACAGTTCAGTTGGTCAGGTGATAACCACGCTGTCTCGTCTGTTGTAGTTGCGGCCTCGTGGGAAGTTTCATGTGAACCTCCTACTTAAGCAGAAGTTCGACCATTCATCCAAGCCCCGAAGAAAGGAAAAGCAGCAGAACCGGGCTTCCCCCCACTCTTTTCAAGTTTGGAGGCGATGACCTCATAGACTTAATTACTGTTTTACTGCTTAACATATGGTCACGAGCGCATTCCATCATCCTGGAGCGAATCACTGAATGTTCCAATTTTTAAGAAGGGAGCCCACAACGAATGCCCTAACCACCATGTAATGAGCTTGATCCCAATCGTCACCAAGTTACTAACCATCATACTTCGAAGTCTGACACCGTTTAAAGAGAAAGATCTGCGAACAACAAGCAGGATTTCGACCAGGTTGAGGGTGTCGGTCAAATCTTCACTCTGCGTCAAGTCCTCGAGCTACGCCACGCACCGCCGACCAACGGTTGTCGTGTTCCTTGACCTAAAAGGAGCCTTCGACTCAATTGATCGTGAATCCCTTATGGGTTCGCTTCTTCGCAAAGGAATGCCGCAGAAGTATGTGAACATACTGAGTGTACTCTACTCGCATAATTGTGGTAAGGGTCTACGGCGGACTAAGTAAATCGTTCAAAACCGGAAGCGGTGTTGGTCAAGGGTTCCCTTTTTCGCCATTCCTGTTCAATTTCGTCATAGACAGAATACTGGAGAACGCACTTAGTGGTCTCCAAAATGTAACTATTGAATGGGCAGCTGGAGAAAAGCTGTGCGATTTAGAGTACGCTGATGATATCGTTTGCCTGTTTGAATCTATGGAGGACATACAAAGCGCTCTTGACAGGTTAGCAAGTTCTGTCGCTCCGTTCGATATATGCTTTGCACCTTCAAAGTACGAAGTGATGCTACAAGACTGGGTGTCGCCGAGTTCGGTTCTGAATTTAGACGGTTAGGAATTAGCCGAAGTTGACTGCTCCTCGTACTTAGGTAGCTGCGTGACCAACGACGGTTGTGCAGCAGAGGAGATAACCAAGCCTCGTGCAGCATACGCAGGACTTAAACACCTGAGGTGGGGACGTGACGTTTCACTAAACCTGAAAGGTCGTGTATACTGCATTAGCGTTCATTCAGTTGTGCTCTATGGTTGAGACCTTGAATTTGCGAGTAAAAGATATCTGTCGATTAGAAGTTTTCGATTACCGGTATTTACGCAGTTTATCTTACGTGGGATGGAACGAACGGATTAGTAACGTAAAGGTAAGCCGCCATGTGTTTGGGAGTCTATCAAAGATAAACCTGCTAGCACACCGAATTCATATTAGCAAACTTCGTTGACTGGGTCACGTATTGCGTATGCCCAACCATCGTCTGGCTCACTGCGCTTTATTCGCTCTAGCTAATCCAGGCTGGAGGAAACCGCGTGGAGGTCAACAGATGACGTGGAGACGAGGCATGAAGAAATGC